TTCTTTAATTTGATCACAACCAAGATACTATGGGTTAAACATGAGAAGTGTTTCTCAACTTTTCTGCTAGTTTTCGTTCAAGGCGAATTTATACAAGGTGGTGTTGTAAAATCAGCTGGTTTCTTCGCCTTACATATATTTTGTTTTTGCTTTTACTGATTTGATAGCACACCCATCAAAAGCAAAAACAAAATACATCACCCTCCATACAAAATACATGGGGTTGTCGTTGTTGTAAACTAAATTCGCCAGTAATACCACCTTGAATAAATTCGCCTTGTTTTCGTTCCTTTACTTTTTCCTATTTCGATCTCTTTGTGCGTAAAATTATACTCTTCGGCAATCTGCTATCAACAGCTGTAAAAAGTTAAGAAACACTCCTGAAGTAAAATAAACTTGCCAACTTTTTCCTTCTGCGTTTTGAACAGCTGCTTCTTAAACATATGACTGCAAATTTCTGTTGGCAGAAATTTCCCCAGCTCTTTTTGAAATGCTTTTTTAAGAAATGCTTTTCAGCAGAATCCAGTCAAATTTTGTGATAATTATCTGTTAAGAAACAAAGATATGACAATTTACAGCTACGCGAACGCAACTAATAATGGAATAGAAAATCAGCTGTTATTAGCACAGGGTTAGTTTCTTTAGTACTTACATAACTGGCAGTCTTCACCTGCTTTAGGATCTTGCTTACTAGTTAAAGCTAGCTTGCAACTGGCACTTTTGCAGTATGACAGCCATTTTCTTACAAAGAACACAAATTTAGAACAATAAAAAAGATATTCGCATACCAGATAATTTAAATTTTTTTAATTTATATGGGGAATATGAATGTCTTAAGAATTTAAAATGTCAGACCACAAACTATATACTGTGCCACAAACCTTCTTGCTTGGGGACATGTTGCAAATACCGGAGTTCACACGATTCAACATGGTTGGAGGCGAACACATTACCAGAGTCCACACTTCGATGCGAAACTGTGTGCGTTTGAGCGAAAGTTCGAAAATCGGAAGTTTTCACAACAAACATATGGCACCGTTATGGCGTCGTTTCACACAAATGCACAGCAAAGCAGCGAAACAAAAGCTAATTTGTGCCTTTCGCATTTTCGCTTTCAAATACCCAGCAACAAAACTCCATTTCGCTTGCAAGGAAAAAGTGGGAGACCTGCGTAAGTTGCACGCATGTGAAGACGAACAGTTATGGCTGAATCCTTTCGTTAAGTTTCTTTCTATATTTATTGTGCTTGACACACCAGTTGCTGTCAATCGTAACAGCTGTACAACTTTTGACGTTTTGTTGTAAATTTTTCAATACAATTTTTATTTTTTGTTTGTAATGCCAGACATGGCTGAAAAAAGTAGTGGAAATAAAGGCAAAAAGTCTAAAAATGATTTATTTCGAACATCCTTGGGATACTATCTGAAGCAGAAAAGTTATGTGGTATGTATTCCAACGCACAGAAGTTTTACATTAAGCAATCGTCATCGGTGTCCATTGAACCACTTTTTCAGGGAAACGAGAAATTTCGCAAGTCTGACTTCCTGCTACTCCAAAATAAGCAACAATTTATGGTACAAAAAATGCTGGATCTGGATCTACAATGTGGAAACTCATTCGCTTTCTCTAATGTACAATGCATCACCAACAATCATCATATTGTTGATCAACAATTTGGGCGGTAAGTGGGTTCTTTATTTAATTTTTATTGTTGATTTTGTTGTAACAGCACCAGGTTAAACTTCTACCTGAGAAGGATAAATGCAAATCTGCCCATTGAGTGTCCGGCATGCGGATATTCCCTTCACGACTCGCAAGAACTCCGCATGTCCTTTAAAGCCCAATCAACTAACGCTCCTATCCCTCAGCTCCCACCCAGTCGGAGAGTGGGCCACCCGTTAGTTCTGTTCTAGGCAGGGCTAAGTATGCCGCTACAACAACAACAGAATCGATTTTATATTAGGCAGTGTCTACACACACGCGCCAAGGTAACTTTTACCGTAGATCCACGGTAAAAATTACCGTAGATCCATTCTAAAAATTACCGTAGATCTACGAAAGACGTGGATTATGTGTTGCCAGAGAAATGGGGCAGAACTTCCTTATGCGTAGGCGGCCTATGGCCGCGCTTAGGAATTATAACCCTTACTACTCAGAATTCTCCTTTCTCTGTTGCCGGAGAAGTGGGACAGAACTTCTTTCTGCGTAGGCGGCCTTCGGCCGCGTTTAGTGATCATAACCCTTACTACTCAGAATTCTCCTTTCTGTGTTGCCGGGAGGTGGGACAGAACTTCTTTCTGTATAGGAGGCCTTCGGCCGCGCTTAGGTATTATAACCCTTACTACTCAGAATTCTCCTTTCTGTGTTGCCGGAGAAGTGGGACAGAACTTCTTTCGGCGTAATTTTTACCGTGGATCCACGTAGAAGTTACCGTTGCGCGTGTAAGTAGACACTCCCTTTATATTAAGTCGATACATATGTTTAAGTATACATATTTCAATTTTATCCATAGATTTTCACAGTTTGTTGAAGCACAAAGCGATTTGATACGGCTAGAGTTGCGACGCTTTTATGCGCCAATGTTGTGTCATCTTTATCTTGAGTTGATGAAAGCGCGAGAACAAAAAGCTGCTTCTGAGTTACTTAAGAAATATGCGCATTTAGTGTCGTCGGTGGAAACTTACGAAGCGCCTTTGCCAACGAAGATAAATGGCTGCTCGGTAGCCAATGACTCTCATTCAGATCAATCCAACGCTGCTACTCCGCATACAAGCATACGCTTTGTAACGCCATCTAGTGAAACACCAGCGGACCCCGAATTAATCTATTTCACAAAACTCATTCAAACACTTTCCGCTTGTACAAAATTGGAAACGGCTGAAAGTGATCCAGATGTGTCACAATTTCGTTCCTCCAAGTATGAGATACACACCACTGAAGCGGTAGTGGATGCATTACGTGGCTATTTGGAAAAACGTGGCCATGTATTAATACTCAATCTAATATATTCATGGATTCATGTTCATGTCGTCGATAATGAGGTGCACAAATGGAGTGAAGATAGTATCCTTATGGAGTTTGAGGCCGTTGAAGACGACGAAGAAAGCAAAATGGAGTTTTCTGACATTAAAATAAAAGCCAACATAGGAAGCGAACGCTTTAGTAAAAAACGTACCACAGAAGACCCTCCAGAAGAGCTTATGGTAAAGTCAGAGAAAGAGGAAGAAAATACAGATGAAATGAAAAAATTACGGTCCCAACAAGTGGAAGAGAGCTTGCAAACTTTACAGGCCTGCAGCGAGCAATTGCTAAAGGGGCAAACACAGTATCCCCTTTTTATAAAGCTAGCCGACCGCAGCAGAGGGTGAGTCCCAAATCTATAAAGACAATTTTTATAATGATAGTATATTTTGAATTAAATATTCCCACAGACTTTCTTCAGCTCACTTGGATGCTGGTGAATGCCATTTGATTGCAGGATTTAATAATTCGGTTGTGCAGTTATGGCAACTAAATCAGCAAATCTGTAGGGGAAAAAATCTTTATACCCGGTTTGCAGACTCAGTGTGTCGTTGGGAAATAAACAATGTTTGTGCCGGGGAATCTGAGACTGAGGACGAAATTGATTTAGATGTTAGAGAACATGCGCGTACCAATAATAGCGACCGAGAGAAACGGAAGTTCGAAGCCGGCAAATACGAAGGCAATTCTTTGTAAGCATTGTGTTTTCAGATGAAACTTTGGTCTACTATCGACAAGGCTTATATTGTACCTTTAATTTCAAATTCAGCAACGAATATGGTGGCATACAGTTGCGTGGTCATGGCGCTGGCGTCACAGATGTACGCTTTTCTACACATTACCCCCTCATTTACAGCACATCTAAAGATGCCACAATACGAAGTTGGCGGGCGGAAAGCTATGGGTGTGCGTGCATTTATCGAGGCCATAGGTATCCAGTTTGGTGTATTGATGAGAGTCCGGTGGGAATGTATGTTGCCACCGGTTCGAAAGATCTCACTGCGCGTTTGTGGTCTTTAGAACGCGATGTCCCCTTAATAACATACGCTGGTCATACACAGGATGTAGAGGTTGGTTTTAAAAATTAAAATTTTTTTGTGTTTCAATACATAGACTACTATTTTTTCTCTAGTGTATCGCGTTTCATCCCAATGGCAATTATCTTGCCACTGGTTCAGCAGATCTGTCTGTGCGTTTATGGTGCGTCACTAGTGGAAAACTGATGCGTGTCTTCTCCGATTGTAAACAGCCTGTAACAAACATTGCATTTAGCCCTGATGGTAAGATGTTGGCAGCCGGTGGTGAAGAGTCGAAAATACGTATTTTCGATTTGGCTGCTGGTGCGCAATTAAATGAATTAAAAGACCACACTTCCGCAATAAACAGTATTTCATGGAGCAAGGGTGGCAGATATTTAGCGTCGGCATGCCGTGATGGCTCTCTTCGCGTATGGGATGTAAAGAAATTATCGCCCATGAAGTAAGTAAATTAGATATACAAATATACAGACCTAAGTGTAAGATAATTTAAATTCAATTATTTTTGTTTTAATAGTGACAGTTGCAGCAGTAGCAGTACAACGAATTCGTCTTCATCCTCCTCTTCAACCACTTTAAATCGTGTAATGACACTCAGTAGCAATTGTCAGAATCTAGTTAAAGTTTCATTCAGCCGCCAAGATGAAATGGTCTGCGTTATTGGCGCCTAAGGCTCTTAAACGCTAATCTTAATATTTTAAATTTTTATTTAGTATGACTTCTAAGCATAAGCAGCTACATATAAGGATCCATCTAAAAAAACAGCGGAAATAGAAAATTTAAATATACTAACTCAAGTTTTTGTAGTTCTATTTAAATATCAATGTCATTACCAAATTAAGCACATATGTACATACATTAGACTGCATCATTCCCCATACAAAAAAAACGGTACTGTTTTTCCAATGAAATTATAAAATCTATTATATTTTAAGACGTCCACCAAAATATATCGGAAAAATATGAAGATTTAAGCGAGCTGGACCCATTTGAAAATACCTCCAAAAATTGAGTTTTTTATGAATAAAAATAGTTTCTTAAAGATGTTTTTCGAAAAAATCCCCTCTAATGACCAAAAGGTTTAAGCTCAAAAAAATGTTTGAACGGTATCGTAATAATGAGATTTTTGATGCTGTTTTTAACTTTTTTCAAAAATTGGTATAGGAAAAACTTGAATAGCTGAACCTAAACTCTTACCATTTAGACTTGTGAGGTATCATTGGGAAGGTATTTATTTGAAAAAAAAAAAATAAAAATGGGACACGAATGACTTTTTTGCACATAAATAAAAATAGTGGGAAACTACGTTTCTACCGAGATCCCATAAGTCTAAATCAGAATAGTTTTGACACAGTTATTTAAGTTTATCGTAAATCAATAATTGAAAAAAAGTAAAAAAACAGCATCAAAAATCTCACTATTACGAATCCGTTGAAAAGAATTTTAAATATTTTTATGCAAATTTGTTAAGCCTAATCTAATTTGTCATCTGAGGGGACTTTTTTCAAAAAGTTCTTTGAGAAACTATTTTTACTCATAAAAAACTAAATTTTTGGAAGTATTTTCAAATCGGTCCAGCTCGTTTAAATATTAACATTTTTCCGAAATATTTTGGTGGACGTCTTAAAATATAATAAATTTAGTAATCCCGGCGGAAAAACCGCAACTTTTTTTTGGTGATGCAGTCTAATCTACATATGTATGCATTGACAAAAAAAGCTACAAAAGTATAACAAGTATATCAAACACCGTCTTCAAAACAGTCACAACTCAAAATTTGGTATTTTGAGATTATGCTCTAAAAATGTACACAGAGCTTTTATTTGACTTTCAGCAAAAGCTGGATCAAATTTTTGTTACAATTAAAAAAAAAAAACCTAAGTTAAAGTCACCCTTGCCCATATGATTATCATGAGCTATGAAATAGTTTTTCGCATTTTCTGGCAAACGTATTATTTTGAGTTGTGAGTTTTAAAGACGGTGTGCGATATGTACAATGGGGAGCAGAAATGAGTACATGGTGACATTTGTTAAATATTTGCAAGGTTTTTAAAGTTAAATTTTTATTTTGTTATTTTTCCATAAAAGTATCGTTCATGCTTTAACCAAAACCATATAAAACAACTTTCAAATTTTATACAGAGCTTAGAAAAATTTAACAAATTTTCATTAAAATTTCAAGTGCAAGGTTTAAGGGGCTACAAAATTACGTCGACTTTTAGTATATTTTTTCTGACGGGTTTCTCAGTTTTTTCTTATAACAAGTGCAATTTATAAAAACTGGGATTATTTTTTTTTTTTTAATTTTTTCTGCAAACGGTCTGGCGCATTTTCTTTCATAAGAAATTCATGCTTGTATTTATGGAAAAAAGTGCAAAAAGCAGTCAGCAAAAAAAAAAGATTGAAAATCAACGCGATTTTGTAGCCGCTTAAAGCACTTTATTATACGAAAATTTAAGGGGCTACCAAAAAATTCTGAAAAACAGATTAAAAAGTTGAAATTTTAATGCAAATTTGTTAAATTTTTCTAAGCTCTGTATAAACTTTGAAAGTTTGATTTATATGGTTTTGGATAAAGCATGAATAATTTTTTTATGAAACAATAACAAAAAAAATTTAACTTTAAAAACCTTGCACATATTTAACAAAAACCACCGTGCACTCATTTCTGCTCCCCACTGTTTATATTTATGTATTCTTTGTGGTTCAGGAGCGATTGTTTTCTTGTTACACATACACCCTAAAAAACGAGGAAGTGGAAATGAGTATAGCTGCACGACAGCCGGTTCTACGTACCGGAATGACTCGGGTTTTAACCGACCAAGGGCTGTTGTTTCGGCAACCTAACCCCGTTTAGATCGGCGAAATCCCCCAAAAGTTGTATGTCCATAGGACTTCGTCTGCTTCGCAACGGGTGGAGTCACCTCCGAGTTTGCTTAGACCTTACGACTCACAGGCAATGGACCACCTCATTCGTGGCCTCTTGCTGCTTAAACCGAGCTGCTTCCATGGCACACCAGAGTCCGCCTGAGCAGCTCAACACAAACACTGCCGCTCCACAACACAATACAATTGACTACACCACAGACACAACTGCACCACCGCCCACACGCCGCTGCCCACAACTCTTGGTTCCTCCGACAAACTGTTCGGTGTGCCAGACCAGAATATTCCGTAACTTGACATCAGTCAAGCGCCACACTTGCCTTGGCTGGTGTCACTTTAGGGCATGTTCTGGACTGGGCACCACGCGAGATTTGGTGGGGGACTATGAGGGCCCGTGCTGTGCTGCTCAATCGCAAGGGCCAACTACGACGCCGACTACCACCACCACCAACACTGTTGAAATGCGCCGGATGCAACGTGCACCGTCGAGATCGCGAACGAGATAGTGGTGGTGGACTAGCGTTCATCACGAGTTGTTGTTGTTGTAGCGGCTACAACAACCCCGCCCAGATCGGCTGATATCTCAGTCGTTGTCGTCGAGTTCCACTAACGGCAGCCCCAAGAAGCGTGCAGCCTCTATGGAGTCGGTCCATAGGGACGACGCCGTTAGGGTTGTGGGGTTTTCCGGGCATGCGAAGAGATGTTTCGAGTCGTGAGGGGTCTCTCCGCATGCCGGACATTCGTTCGGCACATCCGCATTTAACCTACTCAGGTAGGAATTTAGCCGGCTGCAGTAGCCACAGGTCTTGAGTCTACATAACTCGAGACTGCGTCCCTGTGAATGCTGATCAGAGCCTGTCTGTGAGCTGACGGGTCCAGAGGTTGCTTAATGAACCTCTGGACTTCGCCCGTCAGTTCATATAGATGCCTCCTGACGTGCCTCGGCGAGGGCTCCTCTGCAATCAGCTGTCTATTTGGGTGGCCACATCTGTGGCTCCCAGCAAGAAACTGCTTGTAGAGCGTCGTGTTGTGCTCCCTAATTGAGAGCATTTTCGCCTCATCGTGGAGGTGGTGTTCTGGTGAAATCAGGAGGCATCCGGTCGCTGTCCTAAGTGCTGTATTTTGTACCATCTGTAGCTTCGTCCACAGCGTCCTACTAGTCCCCGGCGACCACACTGGTGCTGCGTAGTTTAAAACTGGCCGGCCTATTGCCTTGTATGTTGCCAGCAACGTTTCTTTGTCTTTGCCCCAAGTACTGCCGGCTAGCGACTTGAGGACCTTGTTGCGGCTCTGTACTTTATTGACAATAGCGGTTGCGTGCGCAGAGAAGGAGAGCAGGCTGTCGAATGTTACTCTGAGAATTTTAGGATTATTCACCGTCGGAATTGGTGTACCTTCGACCTGACCTCCTTCGTCCAGGTTGTGAAAAGGGTCGCAGAGAATTTCGTAGGGGAGAGGGCTAGACACTTTGCAGTGAAGAAGCGAGAAAGTTCAGAGATATCCGTTTACTTTCGAACACAGGTCATCAATTCCATTCCCAGTCGCCATGATCGAGCAATCGTCGGCGCAAGAGACAATCGAGACTCCCTCTGGTGGTTGAGGGAGCTTTGAAATGTAAAAGTTAAACAGTAGTGGGGAAAGGACACCACCCTGTGGAACCCCCCGTTTTATTTTCCTAAGTTTGCTCGATTTGTCTCTAAACATTACCGACGAGTGTCGACCACTTAGATAATTTGCCGACCACCTTTTGAGCCTCTGTGAGAGAGAGGAAGCCTCTATATCTTCCAGTAGCGTGGAATGGCTGACAGTGTCAAAAGCCTTTGACAGGTCCAACGCTACTAGAATCGTTCTCACAGGGACGTTTGCGGTCAAGGCCACGAGTTATCTGAGTGTTTATGGCGTTAAGTGCTGTTGTTGTACTGTGCACTTTACGGAAACCATGCTGATGCTTCGCTGGGGTCAAGTGGTTTGTGAAATACGGGAGTAGCAAGGCCTCGAGTGTCTTCGCTACCGGGGAAAAGAGTGTTATTGGACGATAAGAATCTCCTATGTTGGCAGGCTTCCCCGGTTTGAGCAGTGGGACCACTCTCCCCACCTTCCAGATGTCTGGGATGATGAGAGTGGCCATGGACAAATTGAGGACCTCCGTTAGGTACGCTACTCCCTTAGGCCCTAAATGTTTTAGGCATCAGCATACAGATTCCGTCGGGTCCAATGGCTTTGGAGGCTTTCGCCCTCCCGATGGCCCCTTTTTGGCAGCTTATGCAGTCTCCTGGTCACTCGACGATTGGCCTTGCAGGCCCGCAGGACCCAAATTTATCAGCATCAGCATGCATATTCCGTCGGGACCCATGGCTTTGGAGGCTTTCGCCTTCCCGATGGCCACCTGAACTTCACCGCAAGTGAAAGCAAGGGGGGCACAGGTTGTTGGCAGTTTGTGCAGCCTTCTGGTCACTCGACGCTTGGCTTTGTCCACCGGAGGATGCAGTATGAAGTGCCGGCTGAAATAGCTCGCGCATCGCTCCGGGTTCGACGAAGCATGGTCGCTGAAAAAAATTTCGACTCTGTCGTCGTGCATCGTCGGATTGGACAGTGACCTCACGGTTGACCAAAGCTTACTCACACCAGAGGTGAAGTTTCAGGTCTTCAGATGTTCTTCCCACTTCTTCCGCTTATGTACGTTTACTAGTTGCCGAATCTCCGCGTTGATTTAGGCCACGAGTTATTTGGGTGTTTATGGCGTTAAGTGCTGTTGTTGTGCTGTGCACTTTACGGAATCCGTGCTGGTGCTTCGCTGGGGTCAGGTGGCAAGTGAAGTATGGTAGTAGGGCCTCAAGAGTCTTCGCGACCGGGGAAAGGAGCGTTATCGGGCGATAAGTCTCCTTTGTTGGCGGGCTTCCCCGGTTTCAGCAGTGGGACCACTCTCCCTGATTTCCACAAATCAGGAATGATGAGAGTGGCCATGGACAGGTTGAGGACCTTCGTTAGTTAAGCTACTCCCTTAGGCCCTAAATGTTTTAGGCATCAGCATACAGATTCCGTCGGGTTCAATGGCTTTGGAGGCTTTCGCCCTCCCGATGGCCCCTTTTTGGCAGCTTATGCAGCCTCCTGGTCACTCGACGATTGGCCTTGTCTACCGAAGGGTGCAGTGTGAATTGCCTACTAAAGTAGGCTGCGCATTTCTTCGGGTCCGACGAAGCGCGACCTTCGAAAGAGATTTCCAGAGTGACAACCCTGCGGAACTGGCGTTCGCCAGTTTGTGTTTGTGGGTGTGGGAAGGTCGGCGAAGCTGCTCTCGGTGACTTCCGCGAAGCCGTCCCAATCAGCTTTGTTGAAGTTGGTGTAGGTTCGGTGGTCCGCGGTAGCATCGGTGGGCTTATTGATCGAGAAGACTATGGGTAGATGGTCTGATGCTAGTGTTAGCATAGGTCGCCATGAGATGCTATTGATCAAACCAGCGCTAGCAATTGTGAGGTCTGGCGAGCTGCTGCAGCTACCCATAATCCTGGTGGGGGCGTCGTCGTTCATGGTGCAGAATGTCGAACCGTCTATCTGATCAGCCAAAAGGTTTCCCCTACGATCATTGGCCAGGCTTGAGTGCCATAGATCGTGGTGCGCGTTGAAGTCACCTACTACCATTCGGTTTTCACCTCTGAGTAGCGCACCTATGCCAGGGTAATATCCTGCCGGGCAGCAGGTGACAGGGGGTATATAAACGTTGAATATTTCGAGCTCGACATCGCCTGACCGGACAGCTATGCCCTGACATTCTAGGGTGGTGTCCCTCGGGTCGATGTCTTCTTCGATAAGCCGATACTGCACTGTGTGGTGTAAGATGAACGCTAGTCCGCCACCATTATCCAGCTCGCGATCTTTACGGAGCACATTGTAGGCGGCGCAACCCAATAGTTGAGTTGCTGTGCAACTTCGTTTCTTGGACCGCAGGGTTGGGAGGTTTGCTGCTGCCCAGAGGATCTTCTCGGAGCCGTGCAGGCTCTTCGGGTGTTGGGTGCGTTACGCAAGCGGGTAGCCGTGGAGGCTGATTGTGCCGTTTGGCATGAGTAGAAGGGAGCCACATAGCTTGTGGTCCACTCCCGGTGAGACCTAAGACCAGAGCAGGTTCTTAGGTGACTCCATCCGTTGCATGAATTGCACCTAACCGAAGTGGAGTTTGGATGGAGTCGATTCTGGCAAACACAGCAGAAATACGCTTCTGTTCCGGGGTTGGGCTCTACGCCCGCCCGGAGAAGAAGGACGCAGAGCAATCCGGCTGCAAGGAGTTGCTCCAAACAACAGCCCTTGGTCGGGTAGGGTTCGCATATCAATGGCTTCAGTTGAACGATATTCAAGAGATCACATGACTCATTTAGCCAATGTATGGGAAAATTTTTCATCCTGTGCGGCAGCAGGGATCCTTGGCCCTCTTATAACAGAAAACGTTCATCTGTGCTCTTATGTTTCCTTATAAGGACTTATATTGGCTTCCGCATATTGTAGTTGCAAGATCAAAGAAGATTATGCACGCTTGGAAGGGAATAAGACCATCGGCAAAATTCATGACATCGAGAGAAATTAGTATTCCATATGGCATGAAAGTGCTACAAATTTTGGCATATGTAAGAGGAGGATTCTGCTATTTAGTTGTTTAAACTTTTTTACTTTACATACCGTTTTTGCTTTTAAACGCGATTTTTGCATTGGTCCACGCAAAATTTGTTATTAGCGAAGCAAGCGGGAATTGGCTAGTTATGAATAAAATTTCTCTGAGGAATTTTTATATTAAATGGCTTAGTTGAGCTGTCAAAAAAGTGTCAAACAGCTCTTGCGGAGTTCGAATTTTCTCCTCCGGAATTTTCGGGAGAATGCTACTCCCTGGGAGTGAATTATCGAAAGATTTCTTTAGCGGGAGAAACTAATTCCCGGAGAACAAACTCCCTGGGAGTATTCAGAATTGGGCTGACTGTGCTTCATAGTCTTGAACCCCTATTTCGAGTCACGACTAGTAGTAGATAAACGACTATTATTCGATTATCGACTTTCCATGCTACTGTGAACTCAGATTTTTCGACCGATAAGCGACTGAATGGTTTTTAGGCACTCATCCTTCTACAACTGTTTGTTTGTAGAAGGATGAGTGCCTAAAAACTATTCAGTTTCCTATTGAACGAGAAAACGATATTCAAAATACCATAGATAATCGATAAATAGTCGTTTGTTTACTACTAGTCAACACTCGCAATGGGGGTGTTGGTCCAATTTCCATAGACGAACTTCCCTATTGATGTATTGGCAATTGTTTTACCTGTTCCCACGACATTCGTGTAGACGACGCGGGCCGACTGGTTACGAATGATTTTTTTTTATTAGTAGATAATTTAGTTACTTTTCCTTTAAAACGAAGTCATGTACTCCCAATATAATACTTACATACGTAATGTTTTTGATGAGTTGCATTTAATCAGAATTTTTCTACTATAACTCTACCCCTTTAAATAATGGTGTTTTAAATACATTTTAACAATTAGCACAGCCGTAATGCGTGCATTACACATCAGTGTGTATGTATCAAACTGTTTACATTTGCTTATAAATACTTTAGTTGACAAATTAATTACTCGAAACAATTTCAACCACGAAATTCAGAAATCTTAGAACATAATACATATGCGTCGACAATTTTGAAAGTGGTGTGTCACTTCATACCTTTAGTCCTTAAATTGCCGATTACTTATAACTAAGTTATAACCGTTTACCTTTGATTGAGGAAGTTAAACGAATAACCGACACGTTCAGGTGCAGGTCAAGGCTCGTTTAAATTCGAATAGAATGAAGCGACTTAGACCATTTTCAAAATTAGGGGCACATATGTATGATTACCCATAATTTATGTTTAATGCATACTTATAAATGTAAGTTTATATTTGAGTGTATATGTTTGTGTGATGTAACGATTCTTTACTGATATACATACATACATATTACTATTAATTTATCTTTTAAGTTGAAACTCTTTCACTTAAATCCTTTTAATGTACGCATACATTTATACATACATATATCTGGTTCAGATGTACATAGATACGTTATTGTAGCATCATAATTTCATTAAAACGCAATATATATAATTTTTTTTCATATGAAGTCAATCTAAACAAAAGTATACGAACATAAATCTATGAAATTAAAAGTAAGTTCATCGCTTGTGGCGTCCGCGCATGAACTGCAAAGTCTTGGCCATGAGCGGCGCCTTCTTTGCACGTACTGGCGCATGAGCTATATAACAAGAAAATAATAATTAAAGATCTGAATAAAAATAAATGTTTATTATTTAATAGATGTACTAACCAACTTGCGCTGCATCCCGCACGGTAGCCGCGACGCGCAGACGCGTATCTCCCACCTTGGCTGCGTTCGGCGTAACACTGGAAAGCGCTGCTACTCGCGCTGCTGGTGTGGCAACCATTTTGGCTTTCGTTCCGTATTGCTCCTGCTTGCGTAGAACATTGCGGGGCGGTTTCACCATGGAATCTACGAATGCCATTTGTGTTTTGCGCACAGGTGCAGCAATTATTTTCTGTGACTGTTTGATAGTCGCGGTAAGACTATTCAATTTTTGCTCTTTTTCCTCCTCGCAACGCTTTAAAATAAAAAAAAATAAAAATATATATATATATATATTTAAAATGCTCTAATAATTATTGATTGCATGCATACCAAATACATTTCACGCCAAGACTCCATTTCCATACGCTTTTTGGTACGGTAATTTCTTTGCACATGGATTTGCCATAGGCAATCGCTGTCTTCCATCAAGTACGGATTGTATTCTTCAAATGTTAGCAATTGTGGTGGTGTAGCACGCTCCAAAACAGGACGAAGGACTTCGAAGGGTACACCGCCAGTATATTCCAAAGCTGTAAATGAAGCTTAGTATAAATTTTGATAAACGGTACAATATCAATAAAGCCGCACCATCGATATTCTTTTGCAGTATTCGTATGCATAGATCGAATAGTGATGGCACTTGCAACACTTGTCCAGTCTTAATACCGGAGTAGATTTTGGTACTAAAATTAAATTAAATGAACTATAATTTAGTCTTAAAATCAACAAATGAAGTACACTTGCGATCTCTTACCGCATTGTCTTCGAAGAGATGCTGTGACTTAGCGCTTCTGCATCGGTGAGTGTCCTCACAGGCTTGGGAGTGTTAACCACAGCTCCGCTATTACGGTAAACGCAGTCCATTACAGTCTTATTGTGTGGTAGCGGTTTGTAATTCGTTGAAATCGTTGGCAGCTCAAGCACAATACTGGGATCAAGTGGCGCTAATTTCGCAGAAGCTGACAGAAGCTCTGGTTTCTGTAAAGTTTTAGAAACAACATACATATATTTGAACTGTTGTAAAGCGATTTTTCCTTACTTCGTCTACTGGTTTTGAGGAAGTTGAAGCTGAGGACATCGAGCTTGGTCTGTATTCGTTTTTAGAGTTACTGTTGGAGCTACTGCTATGTGGCTTTTCATTCAAGGGAATCTTGCTGGGTGTAGGCGACTTGCTATTGTTAAGCAATTTTTTCGACTTCTTTGTTGGCATATTTAGCATGCCCAAAACATCAGCAAAATTCGCGCCCATAGAAGAATCGATACCTTCGTCCGCATCCACTTCTTCCTCATTGTCATTTGTTTTTGATTTAAGCTTAATTGATTTTGGTGTTTTCGACACTTTGGCTTTCGTTGGAGACCCATCATTTGAATCACTATCGTGTGGGCGTTTCCTGCTGCTATGACCGCTATCTGCCTTCGTATGTGCTGTCGACGAAGACGGTCGTTCGATTGCTGATGTTGAAGGCTTACTGCCGCTGCTGGACGAATGTGATGTGGAAGATTTGTGATGCTTGTGGCGATGCGAACTATCATTTGGAGACGACTTAGTTTTGTCATGCTTGCTCTTGAATGAATAATATTAAATACAGCAATTATTATATTGTTGAGATTTTGAGTTTTTAACATTGATAAATAAGCTTTAAGACCCTGATAAAAAAGATAGGCATAGTTCAACGAGGTAAACCTCATGGCAGATAAGACACTTCAGATAATCAGAAAAAATGTGAATTGTTAGTCAAACGTCTACAACATTTAAACAATATCCTTCACTTGTGAAATTATTTTATTGATTGCTTATCAGAAAAAATATACACTGGCGCTCACGTAAATAGCGCACATTTTATTTTTCGCAATATTCACAATGTTTTACTTGATACGTTATCCTTTTCTGGTAAATTTTTTATAAAAAATATAGTAGTAGTAGTAGATTCTATAAAATAAACCAAATAAGTCAAAGTTTACAACTTTGTACACAATTCAGGAAAACTTTACAAATGTCAAAAAAATTTCATAAAAATGTTCAACTTTTTATTCCGAACTTTTCGAAATTTATTGGGTATGTAGTTTTGTAGCCTATTTAATTTTAGTATAATAATGTTCAGGTTTTAAAATACTTCTTCCATCTAACGCATTAGCAAAACCTATTTTGATTGTGTACAAAGTTTTAAACGGAATTGTTCATGATTTTCAAACCTGCACATTATTATCCTAAAATTGAAAAAAAGTTTCTAAAAATTCGAAATAAAAAGTTGAAAATTTATGCAATTTTTTTTTTAATTTGTTAAATTTTTCAGAAATATGGAACTTTCACTTACAAGGTTTATTTCATTTCATTTCATTTCATTTATTAATAAAATCATTAGCACAAT